GCGTCCTTCTTCGCCAGATTGAGCGAACACGATCGACGAATATATCTTGTCCTTTTTTCCCTTTTCTGAAGTCGATTTTCTTGCAAAAATAAGAGATTCTATATGTATATAATATAATATATATATGTGTGTATATATGTATATCGCAGTTCTCACGAAAAACCTGTCAGTATATTCCCGTACGCGTATCGATCGTTTTATGTATATATATATTTTTTTTCCCTATTTATATACTAACGGCCGCGCGCCTATAATGCTCTTCTCTAGTTATCTTCTTTCTTTTTGCATATAAGCTTTGTTATCTATTTTAATAAAAAGTTCTCATTAATTTCGCTGCTATCGCGTCTCTATCGGCTCGCGCTACTACATTTTTCCCCCGAACGCTATTGCGAACTCTCTCGGCCGTGTGCGCCGCGAGAAACAACTTTCCGTGGCGACGCGTCTTTCGTATAAAAATAACGGAGATAAATAAAAAATATTTCCTCCTTTCGCTCTGAATAAAAAACCTAAGTCGCCTAAATTACGCGAACGCTGATTCGCGCTCCGTGTGCCCTCACCTCGAAATTCCTCCCTTCGTTCGTCCGCCTGACGAACGATCGAAGCGAGAATAGCGATTTCTACTCATTTCCCGACCACTCGTCGTTCGTTCACACACACACACACACACACCTCCATACTCACTTTAACTTTAGGATTCAAATAATAACGGTACGCAGTGTTCTTCTGTCTTCTCTTTTATATCAAAAATTATATTTGGATACATTTATAAATATGCGCGCACATATCTTGGCGCGTGTGCACACAGCTGTGTGTGTTGTGTAAATATATATGCGTATAAAAAATTTTCCTGAAAAAACGTTCGTTTTGCACATTTAAATACGAATCGCATTCGCCGTAACAAAATTTTCAGTCGCATCTTGCGCCGCGTTGGATCCGCGTTTTCCAAATTTGCTTGCATCGAAATCTCATTCGGAAAGAGCCGAAGTGATGAGCGAGTCACTCGAATCCGAGTGATTCTTCACAAAAGCAGCGTGGATTCTGACTTATCGAGCAAAGATGTCCGCTCGAAAATAAAGAGCAAGTCCGATGTTACTTGCACTGATCAATTAAGACGTTCGTTTACGTTTAGACCAGAATCCACTCCGGCCTTCGTGAAGCGTTCACTCTCGCGATTTCGAGTGGCAGTGTTTCGTGCGTGACGAAAGCGCCGCCACTTTTTGCATGTTTTCAGTGAGATTTCGCTCCAAGGAATTCAAAGAGCAGTGCTTATTCTGCAATTTTTGTATGATAATATATCATTAAAAATTCACCAATATCGAACGTCTTTGCGTTACGTATCACGCTTATAATGCGAGCATTAAGAGATTGCAGAATAATCCTGCCGAGGTTGCCGATCAGAGGCGAACAAGGAGACGCAAGACGCGAACTACTTGCAACAAAAGATAGGCCGGAAATATAGGGAAAGTCAACAATACACATGTATACGCAGAATGTTGCACTTCGAGTCCCGACGCTCATGCATTTTCAGTCGTTAAAAGCACAAAACGAAATTTGTTTGCTGGAACTAACGGCGCAAAGTATCAGTCTACTTTAAAAAACGGAAAAAAAGAAATAATATTCCTCCTGAGTTTTCTTCCCTTGTATTTTTTTAACGTTACGCTGCGTTATGTTGCGATCGTGAGACGAGGCGTGAAACTTTCTGCGTACACGCGCATGGAAAATGCAGACGTAGCGAGTCTCACTCCGGTCACTGGCGTGAGATAAGAGGAGGGAGGGAATTCCTGCGAGACAGCGTCCCGTCGCAATGAGAAAAAGGAAGAAAGATATAGGCAGCGCGGTAATTTAGGTGTAGCAGCCACGGGAAGAGCGAGACTCGCGTGTCGTGTGACTGTCGTCGTTCTCGTTTCTGGTATATATGCGTTGCGTACAATAACAGTACAAATTAATCGCCGAGACCTTGCTGCAGCTAAAAAGTAGGTCGTCGTGGATCGTTACGAACGCTAATCTTTTCTTATTACGCGCCTCCCCTCCACATCTCTCATAATTATTATTTTTAACATTTATTTTCCTAGCAGGTACATTTGCACTCTTCGTGACGGATGCGGGGTGTTCCTCTCGAATAGCCCGATCGAGAGAGTTGACTCGCACAAGCTGCGAGCCAATTGGCGCCCGTGGTGGAAACGATGCTGCTTCTCGTCGAGAGAGTAGTTCGCTCCGAAAGCTCTACATATATATTTTGCTCATTTTTTTTCTTTTCTTCCTTCCCCTTTTTATATATCGTATATTTCAATATTACAACAACAAACTTAACACGGATTTTAACGAACGCGGCAACACCAGTCTGAGACTTAACAAATTAAAAAATGGAAGCGGAAGTTTGTACTATTAGTGCACCTGTCTTGTCTGTTCGCGAAAGTATCCCACCTACACTCGGTTGCGGGACTCTTGCGCGACCAGCGCGAAGCCGTCAATCTCTGCGACGACACTTTGACGACCTTTGTTTCCTGATATATATATATATATATATATATATATATATATATATATATATATATAT